CCCTATGGATCCCTAACGTGGCTAACACCCATAAGCGAGCGTGCCTGTTGCTCAGGGGACAGATTTGTGTGCCCTCTGCGCTCTGCTCCCTTCACTGAACGGCATCTGTGAGATGCACCCAGGCTGACTCACTCTCGCTGCCAAGTGAATTCCACCCTTCCCCATAATTTATTACCCACCTCCTGCTGTCGGACATGTAAATTAGTGTTCCCAGGAAACGTTGGGCTACCAGAATCCCTTGCAGAAAGGCTAGGTTGCCATTCTTCTAGCTCACATTAGAATACAAAAATACAAAACTTGGGTCTCGATGCCCCTGGAGTCACCGCGGGCTCCCTGTCAGCCGGGCCTGTGCATCAGTTCAGTTGGTGCTCCCCTCTGCCCCGTCCCCCTGCCCCCTTCTGGCCGCAGCATCTCTCCTTAACTGATGCCCTGGGCGGGCTGCTTAGGCGCTCGGAGCCTGTGTTTCCTGGCCCATGAAATGGTATTAGCGGTGGTCTCCTCCCAGGTGTGTGGGGAGCATGAAGCGGGATACAACATGTAAAGCATGCAGAAGCTCCTCAGTTCCTCACTGGCCATTCCCCAAGGCACAGCACTTGACAGTTTACACAAGCCTGTCCCACACTTGAACTAATTTACATTTTGCAGATGGGGAAACTGAGGCCTATGCAGCCACTTGAGCACTGCTTTGCTCACAGCAGCTTGTCTGTCTACGCTGGCCACTCCCCTCCTGTCCAGTCTTAGCCTCTCCATGTCCCCACCCAGCCCTAACCTGGGACCCCTGAGAAGCTCTAAGCTCAAGGGAACAGTCACTGAAGGTCCCAAAACCTGCTGGCCTTCCAGAGCTACAGGATCTGGGGCTTCCTGCAGTCCTACTACCCAGCCTGTCTCTTGTCCTAGGAGAAGCCAGAGCCCACTCCTAGCAAGGTGAGGTCCCTGTCTGACAGCTACCTCCAACAGACCTCTTCAGGCTCCACTTTGGCCTGTAAGTTCCCAGTGTTCCTGCCAGGCCCCAGTGAGCCAAAGCAGCAGAGTGCGCAGAGGTCAAGGGTCAGAGACTCCCTGGCACGGGTGTGAATGTGGGCTCTGCTGCTTATATAACCGGGTGACTGGAAAGTAGGAGTAAATCCCAGCTTTGCAAGGGGTGTGCTGAGCCCACAGGGAGGTGATGCCCTCACAGGCTGGGACTGGCTCTCACTCCCGGCACTTCCCAGCTGCTGCCTGCTCCAGCTCACTCCCCCTCAGGCCCTTTCTCTCTGCCCCCCCCCCAAATAACTGTGCCCACAAACCCTGCGCATGTCTAAGGGGCTTCACCCCCAATTCTGCTGGGTACCAGCTTGGAAGGGACAAAAGTCAAACACCCAGGAATGCTGCTCCTAACAGAATCCCGAGGGCAGATGTGAACAGCCCAGGGTAAGGACAGAAATAGTGGTGGCCAGCCCTTCACTTCCACTCAGTGCAGTTCAACCAACCATCGAGTCCCAGGGCTGGGCTCTGCCACAGACTGGTCACAGGCATGAATGGCCCAGCCCTGTCCCTGGGAGCTCTTGGTCGTGAAGGCAAGAGGCGCGCAGGTGAACAGATACCCAGAACAGTATAGACGTACACCAGAGGGTTGTGGGTGCATTTAGCTCCTTCTAGGGGGTCAGAGAGGGCTTCCAGGACCTGAAGGAGGAGTAGGGGTTAGTCAAGTGTGGGAGGGTGGAGCAGGGCAAACTACAGGTTGTTGGTTGTGGCTGGAATGCAGAGGGTAAAGGGCAGCCAGCACAGTGGACACCAGGGCTAGGCAAGTAGGACCCTCAGTATCTCCCCCTTATCTTATAGCCGTGGCCCACCTTCAGGGCTCAGGTTGCTGAGGAGGGCTGGGCGGGTGCGTTCTGGCAGGCCTGGCCTTGGCCATGCAAGGCCTCTGGGATACAGGCAAGGGGAAGGCCTAGAAGCCTCCTTTCCCTAGAGCTGCCCAGGGAAGGTACCCTGATGGATGCTCTTGGCACACCCTTTCCAGTCAGGACCCTGTCTGCCTCAGAGACGGAGACGTCCACTACCTCTCAGGAATACAGGAGCACCTCAGACACCACTGCAACATTCTCTGATTCCTCACTGCTGAAAACTCAATCCTTAGACTTGGAAAACAACAGGGAAGACCTAAGCCTGATAATCAGCCCCAGAAAAACTAAGGTTTCCTGGGACCAGAGCCAAAAGTCCAGCAAGATGGAGGCCATTCAGAGCCTCCAAGCTCTGACAAGCAAGACTGAGGCCACCCAAGCCCTACATCAAAAGCCCAGCAAGACCAAGGCCACCCAGGGCCCACGGCAGAGGTGCAGAAAGACCAAGGTTGCTCATAGCTGGAGCCGGAGACCCAGCAAGATTGAGAGCACCCAAGGCCAGAGCTGGGGACTGATTCGAAGTTCCAGCAAGACCAAGACTGCCTATGACCCAATTTGGAGCCCTAGCAACACTGAGGACATCCAGGGCCAGGGCCAGAGGCCCAGCAAGATCAATGCTCCCCAGAGCTGGAACCAGAGCACAGGCCCAGAATCCAGCAACACCAGTGTCACCCAGGACATGAGCCAGAACCCCAGCCAAATCCAGGATGGCCAGAACCCCAGCCCTGGCAGTTACACCGCTCTCTGAAGGGGCCACTGAGCCCCTCACTTCTGGTTGGAGATGGAAGAGATTCTACCACATCAGCACTCAGCAATTAAAAACCTCAGCCAACACTACTCCGGTCCCATGGCTAAGTTTATTGTATTTGTTCTCTTTTACAAAATTAAAAACTTTAAAAACCAAGCCCAAGTGGCCACTTGAGTCCCTCTGCTTGTGCAGCCTGAGAAGTCTCAGCCTGGCTTATAATACTGGTCACAGGGGGTGGGATCTGGTGGTAGGGCAAGGGGCTGAGGTTAAAAGACTGAGGGGCAAGGGAGCAGCCCGGAGCCATAGTCCCTGAGTTACAATTCACATTTTAAGAAGGCTCAGGCTGGAGGGCGAGGTCAAGGCTCATTGAAGTTCTGGGGTGACCAGCAGTTCCCCTGGGGAAGGAAGCAAAGGCCAAGATGTCCTCAGAGCAGGTTAGAGGCCAGCGCCCACGCAGCCCTGTCTCACAGCCTAGCCAACACCTGTCATCAATGTGTGCTCTGGGTCCCACTCTGCAGAAGGCTCAGCACCAGGGCCCCTCTGGCAGAGGCCCCAGGGCCTTCCTGCATGGCCTGGTCAGGTAGAGGGGGCAGGGATGCACCCTGGAGAGTCAGAGGAAGAAGGCAATTCGGGAAGCCACAGTCTTGCAGCCATTGGAGGAAAAGAGCTGCTCGTCCTCAGGGAAGAAGGTGGTGCTGTCCAGCATGGCCTGGATAACCTCGTCCCTTGGCTCCAGGCCCAGCTGGGCCAGCTCGTTGAGCACGCAGTGCCTCACATGGTGCCGCTGGAGAGGTAGGAAGGGCACCAGGGCGTCCAGGAGATGTTCTTCCATGATGCCTGAGCGCCAGAAGCCATCTGCAGGAAGGGCCAATGGGGAGAGGCTGGGCTTCACCCCCAAAGGCCAGTGTAGGCACACTGCTCTCAGCCCCCTTCCGGGCGAAGGGTGAAGGGAGACTGTGTAACAGCCAGGAGCACCAGGGCCTGGGCTGGGAAGTACTGGGTCGCTGGGCAGAGCATCAGATCCCGACCCGATGGATCTGGGTGTGAAGCCCCAGGCTGCAGAAGCCACCCCAGGGTGGGGATCCTAAGCCAAACTCACGGTGTGGGTTGTCCAGCACAGCCTGGGAGATGACTGGCTCAAGCTCCTGTAGGCGGATCTCCTCGCGGTCCCGGCGGCTGCGCCATGCCTCCAGCACCACCTGGTTGATCTGCTCACCACCAGTGTTGCTACAACCATGGGGACCCAAGCCAACACTCAGACAGTAGGGGGCCGGATTTGGCCTGCTTCCCATGTGCCACCTAACACAACCTGGGGGCCCAGCTCAGTGCCAGCAGGAACCAAACCCACCGAAAACTCTCCAGAGGAACCACTTCCCCAGAGCCTGTGTCCACAACCATGACCCCTGGAAATTCTCCTATAGATGCCATGCACTTTACAGTTTACAAAACACTTTTGAGTTCCTTAACTGACTTCCCCTCACCCAGCCTCTAGGACAGTGGGACATTCATTTGGCCCTGCTGTCCAGAGAAGAGATGGGAGCTCAGAGAGGTGAAGTAATTTGCCTGAGGAAACTGAGGACTCTTAGAGGTGGCACTAGAACCCTAGTTCTGTTTCTCTCAGGCCTGTGTCCTCCTGGCCACAAAGGAGGGAAAACTCTTGAGATAGCAGCTGGGCTTCCAGGAAGGAATGATGAAGACCCAAAAGCCCACACTGGGCTTTGAGATTGCCGACGGGAAAGTCAATCACCTTGAATGACAGTGTCACCATCGAGATGGTGAGGGGCTTTGGAAAAGCTTCATTGGGCCCGGGGTATGGTATTCTGCTGTGGGATCACAGACTAAGACTGGATAGCTGAGACCTCTAAGTGTCCCCAACATTATGCCCGCTGCACAGCTGCGCCCACCTGATGAAGATGAAGATGGCTTTTCGATAGTTGGTCCCATACACAACCCAGGAGGGGCCCAGGAAAGGTTGCAGGACCTCCATCAGGCCTGGGGTCAGCTTGTCCATTTCATCAAAGAGGAAGAGGGAGCGGCTACAAACAGTGAGATTCCCCTGGACCCAGTTCTTAAGATCCTTCTGCAAGAGAAAAGAGTTTGAGGGGTTCTGGAGATACCCTCCCAGCTCCAAAGCAAGAATTAACCCTGGAAGATATGGTCTCACAGAGAGTACCAGTTCTTTAGTGGGACTGATGGCAAAACTGTGGCCCTGAAAGGGGCAGAGACTTGTCCAAGCTCAAACAGCAAGTAAGCAGAACAGAAACTCAAACCCAGGCCCCGGCCCTGCCTTCAGGGCGCTCTCCCTGACACCTACAGCTTTCTATAAAAGGGGGAGGCTCCCTCTCGCCCCATGAACTTTCTCAGCAGTTTTGTTTTATGGTTTTTTTAAAAATTGATTTTAGAGAGAGGAAGTGAGAGGGAAAGAGAAAGAGAAATATCGATCGGTTGCCTCCTGCAAGCCCCCTACTGGGGATCGAGCCTGCAACCAGGGCATGTGCCCTGACTAGGAATCAAACCGGCGACCTTTTGGTGCATCCGATGATGCTCAACCAATGAGCCACACCAGCCAGGGCTCTCAGTAGTTTTGACAGTCGAAACAGACCAGCCTGGAAAGTACTTTGCAATCAATAACAACAATGATAATAGTAGTAGGAAGAGCTTGTATTTACTAAGTACTTACTCTGAGCCTCAAATTGGGGTTAAGTGCTTTACAGAGAGGAGATAATGCAGAATGTCTGGCGGAGGTAATTGCTCAATAATTAATATCTGTAATTCTATAACCTTATGTTCTTCGCGACCCTAGCAGGTAGGTATCATTAATGCCCCAGCCCCAAGAATTAAAGTGAGAATTCTCTGCCAGGTAGAATGGCTCTGTTCAGGAGGGGTCCTGAGGGCTGACTCCAACTGACTGTGTGGCCTACAGCAAGTGAATCCCCCTCTCTGGGCTTAGGACTCCCTTCCTCCCTAGAGTATGGCACCCCATGATGCAGGGAATGAAGGGCCAGGATGCAGCCAGCCTACCTTATAGCGCTCCATGTGGCTGGGATGGGGGAAGTGGATGACCGGGGAAAAGTGGTGCACATGGGGGCTGCGGAGGCCACCCCGGAAGAGGTAGTGGGCCAGCAGGGAACTGACATAGGACTTGCCCGTGCCTGTCCAGCCGTGCAGGGAGAGGGCCAGCGGTTTAGTGGGGGCCGGGTCCTGCACGAAGGCCTTCAGCGCCTTCACCACCAGCGCCTTGGCCAAGTGCTGGCCTGCCAGGTGCTGGGCCAGGTCACACTCCAGACCTAGGGCCACAAGAAGGAGCGCGTCAGAGCCGAGGACAGCTCCCACCACGGAAGAGGTTCAAAGGGGAAGTGATGTCTGGAGCCTGGCCTAGGGATCCCTGTGGCCTGGGATGTTTTCACGAGGGGTCTCGCTCCAGGAGCGACCCTCAGGCCTCATGCAGCTCGGCAGCGCCCCCACCAGGCCTGCCCCTGAATTGCGCTCAGCCCTAAGTGCGAGCGGTCAGCAGTCCGCCCGGAACCCTCCGGCCGTTCCCAAGGCAGGCTCCTCCCTGACGGTCACTCCGCTGTGGAGGCCGGACCCTGCCCCAGGGCCCGCTGTCAAAGGCCTCTCTCCACCCTGGCAGGGCTCTGCCCGGACCCCAAGCCAGCATCCCCAAACCCTCGCTCCAATTCCCGCGCCCCAAGCTCTCCGGGTCCCTCCACGCCCGGCCCACTTCCGGGCCTGGCCGCCCAGGAGTCGGGGGTTCCGCCCCTCCGTTCGACCCTCCAGGTCCGTCCCGGCGCAACGCCCGACTCCGTGGGCTCTCGGCCCGCCCGCCCCTCCGCTCCTCACCCGGGAAGTCGGGCTGGAAATCACATTCGCAGAAGTTGCCGAAGTTGCAGCGCAGCGAAGTCAGGTCCCAGGCGGCGGCCGCGACCGAGACCAGCCCGAGCAGCCCGAGGAGGAGCGAGCCCCAGGGCCCGCAGCCACGCGCCTCAGCCGCCATCCGGCTGAGGCCAGAGCTGGGTCTGGGGCGTCCAACCGCCTCTGCCGAGAACTACAGCTCCCGGCATGCATCGCCCTGCGGCAGCCACCTCCCTTGGCCTACAACTCCCGGCTTCCATCTCGCTATCAAAGACCCGCCCGGTCGTCCAGCAGCGAGGCCGCAAGGTGGCCTCCAGGGGGAGCCCGCGAGCTATGCAATCCTGGACCCCGTTTCCCAAAGCACGGTCACTACGGGACCATCGTAGCAGCTCCTAAAGACTAATAAAGAATTATGACCACAAGGGTGGTGTAACAATTGTAGCTCAGCTTTGCGCGGCACGTAACACCTTGCAAAGCGCCTTTTTCATGCTTTTTAAGAGCGCTCACTAGTAGCTTTCTAGGAGCACCTACTGTGTGCCATTAGTCTTAGGTGCTGGATATATCTTATATGGTAAGAGTACCTGTCACACAGAAACATGGTGATATTTCAACGAGTTACAGGCACATAAAGTGTTTAGGCTCAAAGTAATCAATAAATCACCATTGACAATCCATTATGTATAAAACAGTGGTTCCTTACCCAGCAGCTACCACGCGCTAAATGCTTCAACAGCTATCCTAAGAGATTGATTCTGTTATTGTCCCCATTTTATTAAGGTAGAAATTGGGACCCAAGAGGTTAAGCCTCATATCCGAGGTTATTTAGCTAGTAAACAATAAAACTGAACCCAAGTCTGGCTGCCACCAAAAATCTAATGCACTGTGTTAGCCAGCCTCTCTCAGTCAAAGGATTCGGAAGGGAAAGGACCCAGATGCTTCAAATTCAGTGAATGGGCTCCCCAGGCTTCCAGCCTGGCCTGGAATCAAGACAGCTGTGTTCATGTCCCTTTTCAAAGATTCTCTGCCCCACCCTACACACACACACACACACACTCACACACACACGTGACTTCTGGGGCCCCGTTTCAAAGCCTGAAAAGAAATGAGTACTTCCCACTGTTTGAGGAGAGAGGACTCCAGTCAGGACACCCAGGTCCCAGCCTTCCTCATTCTGCTGCTGTGACCCAGGTCACAGTTCTTGGTTTCCCAGAGAAGAGGTAGAATCCTAGATTTCAGAAAGCCCTTCCACCCCCAAATATCTGGGGTCCTTGGTTGTGTGTTTGTGGGAACCTTTGCTGTGGCTTCCCAGGGCCAGGGCATGGAGTAGGAGTGGGGCAGGTCAGTACTTCTCCCACTGGTTGGAATTGGCCGTTTATCTCCCCTACTGGCTCTGAGCTCCGCCAGGACAGGGCCTGGGGTTTAGTATTGGCAGTAACAATCTAGAATGTCCCAGGTGCTAAATAAATACTTGTTAAATGAATTTTTTCCCCTTTCACCTGAGAAAAGATGCTTCCTTCCACCCCAGGGCCTCCTGAGAGACAGAAAAAAGAGTCATAAAAGTTTATTATATGAAAGAAAGAGCGTTGCTTCTGTACATCTATTTACAGAACAGAAAGACTATTTACAACCAGATGGAGGCCTTGGTGTTGGCGGGGAGCAGATGCCCGGGAAGGGTGAGGAGGCGCGAGGAGCCCCCATGGCTCAGACACAGGGCACCTCGGCAGGAAGGGGAGAGGCAGAAGCTGGAGGGAGGGACAGAGCTTCTGGTTCTTCCCGAAGGGGGACTTGGTGAGCGTGTAGCAGGTGGGACGGAGCCCAGAGTCCACACGGAACCCTGGAGGCGCAAGGGAGATCTTGGCGTTGAGTCCAGAACATTCTTGGGCTGATCACAGTGTCCCTGGGGTGCTCTGGGGAAACGTCTGTGCCCCTCTGTCCCGGATGCTGCCCGCAGCTGCAGAGGGGAAGGGTCCCTGGGGGTCACAGCTCGCTGGAGCGGACGGCAGGCTCCAGTTTGTGGGACAGGGCGGTGAGGACCTTGTCAAACTTCTCGTAGCGCCGGGCCTGGCTGCTGCTGGCGCCCTGGCTGCCCCAGAGGAGGCGCATCTGGAACTCAGTGCTGAACACCTCCAGGAGCTCAGGCCGGGCATGGAACCCTGCAGGGCAGGGCACAGGGGTTAGGGGGCCACCATTCAGCTAGGGAGGCTGGGGCTCCCGCTGGAGCCACCACATCCCTCAGGGCCCCACTCCAAGGGACACTCCCCCAGTTCTGCCAGAGAATCAACAAGGTTTATTACTGGACATGGCCACATAGTTTCGTGCCTAGTCTTTGCCCTACTATTTGCAACATATCATTTAAAAATGACTAGAAGATAGAATATTAATGCTAATTGGGGGGCTTGAGTGTTTTCTTTTCTTTTTGTATTTTTCTGTAAGTTCCAACATTTTTTCCTAAGAAGCATGTATACATTTTGTACAGCAATGCAAAAACAATGTTTTCTTTCTGAAGAAAAAGGTCAGGAAGACGGGCACCAGATGCTCAAGGCATTCACTTCAGAGTCACTGGGGGAGACTTTTTTTTTACCTTGTTCTTGCTCAGCTTTAATTTCCAATTTGTCTACAGCAAACTTTTATTATGTAGATAATGCCGTAAGCAGTAAAAGATGGATTGTCTGAAGCCACTTTTCTCTCTGCTCCTTTCAAGAGAGGGTTCTACCTTTCGACTAGACTACGAGCTCTTGGAAGGCTGGGCAGGTCAGTCTCCGCCCCAGGTCCCTAGCCGAAAGCTTTGCAAACAACCTTATAAAGTAGGCCTGTTGGGATGCCCACTTCACAGATGAGGAAACTGAGGCCCAGAGAAGCTAAGACACACAGCTATGATGCTCTTTGAATCAGCGGTGTCTACCGGGTGCCCGCCACTCCCAATTGCTTGTTGAGCTGATGAGTGAGGAAGAAGAGGAGAGAGAAGGAGAGAGAGAGAGAGAGACAGACAGACAGACACGGGCAGGAGGAGGCGGGGAGAAAGCGGGAGGAGTGTTTGACCAGAAGGGGAGAGGGAGGCCCAGGCCTGGGGGCAGCAACTCACCCTGCAGCTTGACCTCGGCGTTGGTGTGGTACAGGCCTCCGTGGTGCGCCACCGTTCGGGCAGCCTCCAGGTGGGCCAGCACCACCTCCACGCCGTGCTCCGTGCTGCCCCAGGGCTCGGGGCCCTCGGCCGGGGCCCCGTCACACTCCAGCAGAGTGATGAGCGGCAGGACGTGCGGGAACGTGGTGTTGCTCAGCGGCGGGCCCTCTGCAGGGAGGGAGGCGGCAGGCACTTAGAGACCCGGTGGGCCCCGTTACCCGCTGGGGTCTCCAAACTCAGATGCGGGAGAGGAAGGAGTGGGGCCTGCCTGAGGTCCCAGAAAGGCCCCAGGGCTCCTGACTGCTGGACAGACCTTTCCTTTCAGGCTCCCTCAACTAAATCTACTGCACCCTTGGCCTGGCTCCGGCAGCAGAGCCTGGCTGTGGCTCACAGTTGCCGGGTGCAGTGAGTGCAAGACTAGCCCGCACGGAGCTCAGCCAAGCTCTCACTGTCAATCACAACAGGAAAGTCTCCACTGGCCCAGAGAGGGTGGAAACCTGGGCAAGGTCACACAGCAACACGGGGGAGGTACCTTTGCCCTCATTGAGGCTCTTGAGAAACGGCTTGAGCTTCTTCTCGTAGAGGATGGCACCCTCCGTGTGTCGCTGCCGCAGGGTCATCCACGTCTGCTCCAGCCGGGCAATCTGGAGAGACCAGACTGTGAGAGGACAGCCAGGAAAGGGGCCTGCAAGGGCCACAGGCCACAGTGGACACCCAGATGTGGGGTAATAATTATTATGGTCACCATTCTCGTATCAGGGATGGTGCTAATTGACGTCTTTTCACAAGTCCTCATGAAGCCCTTGCAACAACCCATTTTGCAGATGAGGGAACTACGGCTCAGAGAGGGGAATGGCTTGCCCAGGGTCATTCCAAAAATAAGTGGCAGAGCTGGGAGATGAACCACTGCCTTTAGGACCCAGTTGTTACTATTTACTAGGCATAGGAGAGGAAGTGTAGTGTGCATGAGGTCCGGGCTCTGAAATTAGACAGACCTGGTTCGAATGCCAACTTTATCAGCCTCTGACTGTGTGGCCTTAGGCAAGTACTGCTCTGCCTCAATTTCTCCATAAGTAAAACGGGGACAATAAAGGCATTTACCTCATGAGATTGTTTTGAGGAATCGGTGCTTGTAAAGTACTTAGTGTAGCATGAGCACCTAGCATCCAGTTAAGTGCTCATTAAATGGTAGCCATTTTACATCTATTCTTTATACTCCTATAATGCACCTTGTTCATTTTTCAGGTGGGAAAACTGAGGCCCAGAAAGGGAAAAGGACGGTCTCGGAACAGGTTAGCACTCAGAGAACTCAGCTCTTCCAGGTGCCCTTTCAAAATGCAACCGAGAAAGTCACAAAGCTCCTCCCGAATCAATACACAGCCATCGCAAAGGAAGGCATCCCAGGGCTCTCCGAGGCAGTCTACCGGACCCACCCTGGAGGGCCCCTCAGTACCTGGGCCATGTCCAGGGCACTCATGACTGCAGCGAAGCTGAACATGTTGCCCATGGTCCCCCGAAGCTCTGCGGCCAGCTGGATGGTCTTGTGCAGAAGCGCGGCCCGCTCCTCGGCAGAGCCAGTGCAGCCCAGGATGTCCACGGCGAGCATGATGGACATGGTGTGGAACCTGCCCGGGAGGCCGGGTCACAGGGGTGCGGCCAAGGACCCAGGGTGGCTGGCAGCGGTCCAGCCACTGCCTGGGGTTGGGCACCCAGGGGCTGGAGGGCACCGAGCTCTAACTTGGAGGTGGCAGAGTCAATGCGATTGGGGGGCATGGGCAGGGTCACAGTGCCGATGGGCTGGTGGTCAAGATTCGTGGACTGTGATTGGTCAAGAGCATGCATAGGTGAGTCCCTAAGGGCCTCAGTCCTCGGGAAACCAGAATTGCTTGGAGCTGGATAATGACAAGTTGGAATTGGTCCACGGATAGGGGGCGTGGCCAGAACGCAGGGAGCCGGGCTGAGAGACTGTGATTGGCCAACTGGCCAAAGCAGAAAGACAGTCTCGGGGCGCAGGGTGTGCCTCACCTTTCCAGCAGGTCTAGTCGTAGCTGCCGGCCATGGGGGAGGGTGAGCAGCTCCATGCCCCAGCGGACTCCCATT